GTCGAGCTGGACAAACAGTGAGATCACAAATTCGAGACTGGCGTCGACCGACACAGCGCTACTTGCTTGCTACAAACAACATAAAAACCGAAAGAAATAAAGAAGCTGAGACAGGCATTGAAATTGAGACGCTATATAGAAGCCCGAAAAGACCTCAGGGCTAGCATGAAACTCGGCCTGCCAGGTACGGTGGCTCACAGGAAACTTTCATTTAGGTGCTTTGAAGACCAACGCAAAGCAAACTTCGAGGATGTGTGTTCGAGAGCCGAACGACCAACATGGAAAATTTCCATCTTCACAACGGAAACAATACTTGGGATAGGCTCAGCGCATCACACCAGTGAAATGTCGAGCCGGGCAGACGGTGAGATCACAAATTCGACACTGGCTTCGACCGACACAGTGCTACCCGCTTGCTATAAACAACATAAAAACCGAAAGAAATAGAAAAACCAGGCCGGGCACTGCATGTGCTCACTTCAGCAGCAGGTACACAGAAATTGGGACTCTACATAGAAGCCCGAAAAGGCCTCAGCACTTGCATGAAACTCGGTCTGCTAGGTACGGTGGCTCACAGAAACTTGTCAGTTAGGCGCTTCGAAGACCAACGCACAGAAAATTTCAAGGATGCATGTTCGAGACCCGCCTGACAAACAAGGGAAATTTCCATCTTCAGAACGAAAACAAAACTTGGGTTAGGTTAGGCGCATCACACCTGTAATCCCGTGATAGTGGAATGTCAAGCGGAGCAGACAGTAAGATCACAAATTCAAGACTGGCCTTAACCGAGAAAGCGCTCCCCACTTGCCACAAACAACTTAAATCGAAAGAAATAGAAAAACTGGGCTGGGCACGGCATGTGCATGCCTCGGCACGATGTACACTGAAATTGGGACTCTACATAGAAGCCCGAAAAGGCCTCAGCACTAGCATGAAACTAGGCCTCCAGGTACGGTGGCTCAGAGGTACCTGTCATATAGGCACTTCGAAGACCAGCGCAAATAAAAATTTGACAATGCCTGTTAGAGACATGCCCGACAAAGATGAAAAATCTCCGTTTTCAGAACGGAAAAAAAACTTGGGTTAGGCTCAGCGCATCACACCTGTAATCCCATGACAGTGAAATATCGAGCCGAGTGGACAGGGAGATCACCAGTTCGAGATGGGCCTCGACCGACACAGTGCCACTTGCTTGCTATAAACCACATAAAACCAAAAGAAATAAAAAAGCTGAGAGAGGCAGGGCATGTGCTCGCTTCAGCAGCAAGTACACTAAAATTGAGACTCTACATAGAAGCCCGAAAAGACCTCAGCACAGGGATAAAAGGCTACGCAGTGTTCCGTTTTCTATTTATTCATTTAGTTTTGCCATTGTAACTGTTTTGGACAAATCAAATACAGATACATTTTAGGTTCACAAAAATAAGCAGAAAGTTGTCTGTTCCAGGTGGTGTTGAAATATTCAACCACAGGTACTTGAAAGGCATCGGCAGAATGGCCGATGGAACCCACTATACAGTTGTGGCAACAAGCCAAGATCGCAGTGTTTCACTCCAGCCTGGGTGACTGGAGAAAAGCAGTACGACATACAGAAAGGTGGGGTGGAGTTTGGAGCCAACTGGCACCTAGGTTTGTTCCGAGTGAGCACACAAATTGGTCTGATTTCTGTGATTTTCTTCTTCTACTTCTTTTTTTATAAGTGAAGTGGGTTTTCACGGAGATGCCCAGGCTGACCTGGAACACGTGACCTCAGGAGAACCGCCCACCTCGACCACCCAAATGGCTAGGATAGCTGGTGTTACTCACAGTGCTGGGCAACGTCTCTCCGTTTTCTCTTGTAAACATGAAACTCGGCCTGCCAGGTACGGTGGCCCACAGGAACCTGTCATTTAGGCGCTTTGAAGACCAGCGCAAAAAAAATTTTGAGGATGCCTGTTGGAGACCCGCCCTACCGATATGGGAAATCTCCGTCTTCAGAATGGAAACAAGACTTGGGTTAGGCTCAGCGCATCACACCTGTAATTCCATGACAGTGGAATGTCAAGCCGAACAAACAGTGAGATCACAGATTCGAGATGGGCCTCGACAGACACAGCGCTACCCACTTGCTATAAACCACATAAAAACTGAAAGAAATATAAAAGCTGAGCCGGGCACGGCATGTGCTCGCTTCGGCAGTATGTACACTAAAATTGGGACTCTACATAGAAGTTCAAAAAGGCCTCAGCGCAAGGATGAAACGCTACATAGCATTCCATTTTCTATTCATTCATTTAGTTTCGCCGTTGTAACTGTTTTGTAGAAATCAAATACAGATAGATTTTAGGTTCACAAAAATAAACAGAAAGTTGTCTGTTTCAGGTGGTGTTGACATATTCAACCACAGTTACTTGAAAGGAATCGGCAGAATGGCCACTGGAACCCACTATGCTGTTGTGGCAATAAGTCAAGATCACAGCGTTTCACTCCCGCCCAGGTGACAGAAGATAAGCAGTACTTCATACACAAAGGCGGGGTGGGGGTTGGAGCCACCTGGCACCTCGTTTTTTCAGACTGAGCACACCAATTTGTCTGATTTCTGTGATTTTCTCTTTCCACTTCTTTTTTTTCTAAGTGAAGTGGGCTTCTACCGAAATGCCCAGGCTGACCCGGGACTCATAACCTAAGGTGAACTGCCCGCCTCGACCTCCCAAATGGCTAGGATAGCTGGTGATACTCACATTGCTGGGAAACGTCTCTCTGTCCTCTTTTGTTAACATGAAACTCGGCCTGCCAGGTACGGTGACTCATAGAGACCTGTCATTTAGGCGCTTCAAAGACCAGCGCAAAAAAAATTACGAGAACCGCCTGACCGATATGGGAAATCTCAGTCTTTAGAATGAAAACCAAACTCGGGTTAGGCTCGGCGCATCACACCTGTAATTCCATGACTGTGGAATGCCGAGGCTGACAGACAGTGAGATCACAGATTCGAGATAGGCCTCGACTGACACAGCGCTACCCGCTTGCTACGAACAACATAGAAACCAAAAGAAATAAATAAGCTGAGCCGGGCACGGAATGCATTCGCTTCGGCAGCACATACACTAAAATTGGGACTCTATGTAGAAGCCTGAAAAGGCCTCAGTGCAAAAATTGAACGCTACGCAGCATGCCGTTTTCTATTTATTAATTTAGTTTTGCCGTTGTAACTGTTTTGTACACATCAAATACAGAGAGATTTTAGGTTCACAAAAATAAACAGAAAGTTGTCTGTTCCAGGTGGTGTTGATGTATTCACCCACAGTTACTTGAAAGGCATCGGCAGAAAGGCAGCTGAGACCCACTATGCAGTTGTGGCAATAAGCCAAGATCTCAGTGTTTCACTCCAGCCTGAATGACAGTAGAAAAGTAGTACATCATACAGGAAGGCGTGGTGGGGCTTTGAGCCAACTGGCACCTCGTTTGTTCAGATTGAGCACACCAATTTGTCTGATTTCTGTGATTTTCTTTTTCTACTTCTTTTTTTTTAAAGTGGTTTTTAAACCAAGTTTAAAAGTGGTTTTTCACCAAGATGCCCAGGCTGACCCGGAACACCTGACTTCAGGTGAACCACACACCTCGACCTCTCAAATGAGTAGGATAGCTGGTGTTACTCACAGTGCGGGACAACGTCTCTCCGGTCTCTCTTGTTAACATGAAACTCGGCGTGCCAGGTACGGTGGCTCAGAGGAACCTGTCATTTAGGTGATCGAAGACCATCGTGAAAAAGTTTCAAGGATTCGTGTGCGAGGCTCGCCCGACCAACATGGGAAATTTCCGTCTTCAGAAAGGAAACAAAACTTGGGTTAAGCTCGGTGCATCACACCTGTAATTCCATGACAGTGGAATGTCGAGCCAAGCGGAGAGTGAGATCACAAATTCGAGACTGGCGTCGACCGACACATCGCTACCCGCTTGCTATAAACAACATAAAAACCTAAAGAAATAAAGAAGCTAAGCCGGGTACCTCATGTGCTCGCTTCTGAAGCACGTACACTGAAATTGGGACTCTACATAGAAGCTTGAACAAGCCTCAGCACTAGCATGAAACTCGGCCTGCCAGGTACGGTTGCTCTGTGGAACCTGTCATATAGGCAGTTCGGAGACCAACTGAAAGAAAATTTCGAGGACGCATGTTGGAGACCCGCCCGACCAACATGGCAAATTTTTCTCTTCAGAATGGAAACGAAACTTGGGTTAGGCTCAGCGCATCTCAACTCTTATCCCATGACAGTGGAAAGTCAAGCCGGGCCGACCGTGAGATCACAAATTTGAGACTGGCCTCGACAGACACAGGGCTTCCCGCTTGTTATAAACAACATAAAAACCAAAAGAAATAAGAAAAGCTTAGCCGGGCACGGCATGTGCTTGCTTCGGCAGCACATACACTGAAATTGGGACTCTACATAGAAGCTTGAACAAGCCTCAGTGCTAGCATGAAACTAGGCCTGCCAGGTAGGGCGGCTCAGAGGAACCTGTCATTAAGGCGCTTCAAAGACCAACACAAAGGAAATTTCGAGGATGCGTGTTAGAGACATGCCCGACAAATATGGAAAATCTCCGTTTTCAGAATGGAAAAAAAACTTGGGTTAGGCTTGGCACATCACACCTGTAATCCCATGACAGTGAAATGTTGAGCCGAGCGGACAGGGAGATCACTGGTTTGAGACGGGCCTCGACCGACACAGTGCCACTTGCCTGCTATAAACCACATAAAAACCAAAAGAAATAAAGCTGAGCCGGGCAGGGCACATGCTCGCTTCAGCAGCAAGTACACTAAAATTGAAACTCTACATAGAAGCCCGAATAGACCTCAGCGCAAGGATGAAACGCTACACAGCGTTCCGTTTTCTATTTATTCATTTAGTTTTGCCGTTGTAAATGTTTTGTACAAATCAAATACAGATAGATTCTATGTTCACAAAAATAAGCAGAAAGTTGTCTGTTGCAGATGGTGTTGAAATATTCAACCACAGGTACTTGAAAGGCATCGGCAGAACGGCCGCTGGAACCCACTATACAGTTGTGGCAATAAGCCGAGATCACAGTGTTTCACTCCAGCCCGGGTTACAGGAGAAAAGCAGTACGTCATACAGAAAGGCGGTGTAAGGCTTGGAGCTACCTGGCACCTCGTTTGTTCAGATTAAGCACTACAATTTGTCTGATTTCTGTGATTTTCTTCTTCTACTTCTTTTTTTTAAGTGAAGTGGGTTTTCTTCGAGATGCCCAAGCTGACCTGGAACTCGTGACCTCAGGTGAACCACCCACCTCGACCTTTCAAATGGCTAGGATAGCTGATGATACTCATAGTGTTGGGCAACGTCTCTTCGTTCTCTCCTGTTAACATGAAACTCAGCTTGCCAGGTACGGTGGCTCACAGGAACTTGTCATTTAGCCGCTTCGAAGACCAGTGCAGAAAAATTTCGAGGATGCGTGTTCGAGACCCGCCCGACCAATATGGGAAATCTGTCTTCAGAACAAAAGCAAAACTTGGGTTAGGTTCGGCACATCACAGCTGTAATCCCATGACAGTGGAATGTTGAGTTGGGCGGACAGTGAGATCACAGATTTGAGACTGGCCTCAACCGACACAGTGCTACCCGCTTGCTATAAACCACATAAAAACCGAGAGAAATAAAAAAGCTGAGCCGGGCACGGCATTTCCTCGCTTTAGCAGCAGGTACACTATAATTGGGACTCTACATAGAAGCTTGAAAAGGCCTCAGCGCAAGGATGGAATGCTACACAGCCTTTCATTTTCTATTTATTTATCTAGTTTTGCCGTTGTAACTGTTTTGTACAAATCAAATACAGATAGATTTTAGGTTATCAAAAATAAACAGAAAGTTGTCTGTTCCAGGTTGTGTTGATATATTCAACCACAGTTACTCTAAAGGAATCGGCAGAACGGCCGCTGGAACCCACTTTGCAGTTCTGGCAATAAGCCGAGATTGCGGTGTTTCACTACAGCCCGGGTGACAGGAGAAATGCAGTACGTCATACAGAAAGATGGGTTGGGGGTTGGGGCCAACTGGCATTTTGTTAATTTCACATTGAGCACACCAATTTGTCTGATTTCTGTTATTTTCTTTTTCTACTTCTTTTTTTTTAAGTGAAGTGGGTTTTCACCGAGATGCCCAGGCTGACCGGGAACTTGTGACCTCAGGTAAACCACCCACTTGGACCTTCCAAATTACTAGGGTAGCTGGTGTTACTCACAGTGCTGGGCAACGTCTCTCGGTTCTCTCCTGTTAACATGAAACTCGGCCTGCCAGGTACGGTGGCTCACAGGAACTGTCATTCAGGCGCTTCGAAGACCAGCGCAAAGAAAATTTCGAGAATGCATTTTCGAGACCCGACCAACCGATATGGGAAATCTCCGTCTTCAGAACGGAAACAAAACTTGGGTTAGGCTTGGAGCACCACACCTGTAATCTCAGGAAAGTGCAATATCGAGAAGTGCAGACAGTGAGATCACAAATTTGAGACAGGCCTCGACCGACACTGTGCTATTGGCTTGTTATAAACCACATATAAACCATAAGAAATAAAAAAGCTGAGCCAGGCATGGCGTCTGCTCGCTATGGCAGCACGTACACTAAAATTGGGACTCTACATGAAAGCCCGAAGGGGCCTCAGTGCAAGGATGAACCGCTACGCAGCTTTCCGTTTTACATTTATTCATTTAGTTTTGCCGTTGTAACTGTTTTGTACAAATCAAATACAGATAGCTTTCAGGTTCATAAAATAAACAGAAAGTTGTCTTTTCCAGGTGGTGTTGACATATTCAACCACAGTTACTTGAAAGGAATCGGCAGAACGGCCGCTGGAACCCACTATGCAATTGTGGCAATAAGCCGAGATCGCAGTGTTTCACTCCAGCCTGAGTGACAGGAGAAAAGCAGTACGTCATACACAAAGGTAAGGTGGGGGTTGGATCCTCCTCGCACCTCGTTTTGCTCAGATTGAGCCCACCAATTTGGCTGATTTCTGTGATTTTTTTCTACTTTTTTTTTTTTAAGTGAAGTGTGTTTTCACCGAGATGCCCAGGCTGACCCGGAACTCGTGACCTCAGGTGAACCGCCCACCTCGACATCCCAAATAGCTAGGATAGCTGGTATTACACACAGTGGTGGGAAATGTCACTCCGTTTTCTCTTGTTAACATACAACTCGGCCTGCCAGGTACGGTGGCTCACAGGAACCTGTCTTGAGGCGCTTCAAAGACCAGCGCACAAAAAATTTCGTGGATGCGTTTTTAAAACTCGCCCGACCGTTATGGGAAACCTGCATCTTCAGAACAAAAGCAAAACTTAAGTTAGGCTCGGCGCATGACACTAGTAATCTCATGACAGTGGATTGTCGAACCGGGCAAAGAGTGAGATCACAGATTCGAGACAGGCCTCGACAGACACAGCGCTACCTGCTTGCTATAAACCACATAAAAACCGAAAGAAATAAAAAGGCTGAGCTGGGCACGACATGTGCTTGCTTCGGCAGTAAGTACACTAAAATTGGGACTCTACATAGAAGCTCCGAAAGGCCTCAGCGCAAGGATGAATCGCTAGGCAGCATTCCGGTTTTTATTTATTCACTTAGTTTTGCCGTTGTAACTGTTTTGTACAAATCAAATACACATAGATTTTAGGTTCACGAAAATAAACAGAAAGTTGTCTGTTTCAGGTGGTGTTGACATATTCAACCACAGTTACTTTAAAGGCATCAGCAGAATGGCCATTGGAACCCAATATGCAGTTGTTGCAATAATCGAGATCGCAGCGTTTCACTCCAGCCTGGGTGACAGGAGAAAAGCAGTACATCATACAGAAAGGCGGGTGGGTTGAATCACCTGTCACCTCGTTTTGTTTAGATTGAGCACACCAAGGTATTTACAGTTTTTCTTAAACATCTGTATACCTTCATTGAAATGGTCAATGTAATCTGAACTGTACAATGTGAATTTTAGCTGAATTACTTTTCAGGAATGCTTTCTATGGCATTGTAACTGGTTTGACCTTAACTAGGACTTAGGAGCTGTGAGACCTTTTCTTCTACTCTTTTTCTGCTGCTGAGATATTCTCTCTGTCCATAAAGATGCATGCACCTGCCTACCTGTGGACAAACTACGTGTGTAGGACAATCCCAGGTTTAGCATTTCAGCTGTAGAAGTCACACCAGACAAGATCAGAAAACTGACATGCTTTGAGTAAATGCTAATCACAGACATTTATGAAAGTATACATACAGTACATTTAATTTGTTACTTTTCATTTTCCATGGCATCGATTGTCACAACATATACTGTTCCCATAAAGTATGAATGATAAATAGATATTTCCTCAAGAGCCTAACTAAAGCCACCATGTTTGACAGAGGAAACTTATTTTGTCCTTAAGCAAACCCCTGATATGGTCTGGAGTTTCCATGTTGTTCTTGCTATTGTAGTTCTCCCAGAGAATCAGAGGAGGAAAACAGAGCTTCGTTCCTGAGGGAGGAAAATATGAGGTTGGAAGAAGTTACACACCTTTCCACAGCCTTACCTTTGAGAAGATTTCTTTCTGAAAATTATTTCCGTTATATCCTTATCCTGTTTTCTTTTATTGGCTCTTGGATGGCAGGAAAGAGTTCCTAGGGAGAGAAGACAAAGAGGGTTTGTGCTGTAAAAGAAACCCCAGGCTGAAGACTGGAGATCTGAATGTGCAACTTGCAAGGGAACTGGAGACAATGAAACTCCTGTCAGGTAAGTTGGATGCTAGAAGCTTGTGTGGAGGGGATGAAGGTTCTGTGTTTATGATTTGCTCATAAAAGCAAACAAGTAAAACCAAACCGCAGGGTAGGACCTGCCATAAAATAGAATTTAGTGAAAACAGTCCTTCAGAAAGAGATTTCATCCACTGATTCACCTTCCACACACGGTTACAGTCCGACTTATGTGTCCATAAGAGTGAGAATCTGCATTTTTTACACTGAGAATTATTTTTCTCTCGACAGGTCAAGTTGACAAGGGGTCTCAGTGTAGAGGCCATCAAAGCAATTTTGGTCAAAACACTTGGTGGCAAGATGATGAAGTTTTCTGTTGAAACAATAAAGTGACTAAATGCGTTAGCATGTTGTGCCTGGCGTTCATCGGTGTCCTCAGCAACATGCCTGGATATCCGTCTCGGGATTTGGCTTCACCCCAGAGAGCTTCTGAGAAGCTGTCTTCACCCAATCTGCCCCCAGGGGAGGCCAGATGTAGTTGTTGCCTCCTCTACTGCAGGCTGCGCATGCCGCAGCTTTTCCTTTCTTGCCGCCTTCTCCGGACAGCAGTGATGAGAAGCAGGGCTCCCTGGGCTTTCAGAGCACTAGGCAGGGCGCCTTGGTGGGTGGCCCAGGTCTCAGGAGAGGCAGTGAGTCTAGGGAGCTGGGAACATTCGCCAACACTTTCCCGGAGGGTCTCAGGCATCTTTCCGGGGTCCAGGGACCCCCACCACACCTCACCAGACTGAATCTCCAGCCCCTTCGGACCCGATCCCTGCCCATGCCGTCTTATCCAGAATCTACTGGGGAGAGTAGTCCAAAATACCCACCTCGTTTTCTGAAGCTTCCTTCCTCTTCAGAGGACCGGAATAGGAAAACAGCTTCAGGGAGCCGCTGAAGTCAGGACGATAGGGCTCCTGCCCTGCTTGTGGCCCGCAGCCTTCTTTCCAGGGGCCGCCTAAGACACCTCCGCCAGCGTTTTTCCAAGCCACTGCTGCCGGCTGGTGGGGGTGCAGACATAGCGGCTGGCCAGCCGGGAATACCAATGCTCATGCGCAGTCGGCGGGTGGCAAGCGCGAGCGCCCACCCGAGGGTCACGTCACAGTGACCGCCCCCGTGGCCTGGGAAACCGCCGTCTCAGCGGCTTGGCCAGGCAGGGGCCCTCCGTGGCAGTGCTTCGGCGTTGGGCAACGACCCCCTCTCTAACGTCGATCGTCGCCACAGTCCCGCGATTTCAGGAGTTTCTGCAGGGCGGAGCCAGGCTGAGGAAAGCTGCAGAGGAGCTTCAGGGATGCCCAGGGCGATCCCCAAGAATCCCCAGGATACTTTAGGCCTCCTGAGACGCTGTGGGGGATGCGTCTCCTTGAAAGCTGTCCCTGCTGGGAATTCCAGATACTGACAGCCTGTGTGCTGGGGACTGCTCTCTCCCCGAGGGGCTTCCTGGCAGAGAGCAGAACCCCACAGCCTCAGGAGCTGTCTGCAACTGTTGGATGTCTCCGTGTGTCTTTCTGTATGTATGTGTGTGTGTGTGTGTGTCTGCATGTGTCTATGTGTGTCCATGTGTATTTTTCTGCGTGTTTATATGTGTGTGTTCCAGTCGTGTATGCTGGACGTAAGTGTGGCCTGTGCACTCAGGCAAGGTTGCTCTCTAGTCTTTCTACCTTCTGGTGGATGTGCATCCTCAGCGGCTTAGGAGCTGTGAGGCCCCGCCTTCTTTGTGTTGCTCCTGGTTTCTAAAGCCTTATTGTAGTGGGGGTCTGACTCCCACCCACAGCCCTCCTAATCGCCTTTTCATCCCAATGGGGGTCACTCCTGCAAAAAGTTGACAAGCACAGCACAGTGAAAACCATACTCTTCCACGGGCCCTTCGTCCTGCTGCACAGGTAGGGCTGGTACTGTCCTCAGGTCCCCTTCAGGGAAGGTGAGAGTGTAAATTAGTTCAACCATTGTGGAAGACAGTGTGGCAATTCCTGAAGGATCTAGAAATAGGAATTCCATTTGACCCAGCCATCCTAATACTGGGTATATATCCAAAGGATTATAAATCGTTCTACTATCAGAACACATGCACACGAATGTTCATTGCAGCAATGTTTACAATATCAAAGACCTGGAATCAACCCAAAGGCCCATCGATGGTGTACTGGACAGTGAAAATGTGGCCCATATCCACGCGGCAATGTTATGCAGCAATCAAAAACGATGAGTTCATGTTCTTTGTAGGGACCTGGATGAACCTGTAGAACATCATTCTCAGCAACTGACACAAGAACAGAAAATGAAATACCGCATTTTCTCACTCATAGGCGGGTGTTGAACAATGAGAACACATGGACACAGGGAGGGGAGCACTACACACTGGGGTCTGTTGGGAGGAATAGGGAAGGGACAGCAGGGTGTAGGGAGTTGGGGAGATATAGTATGGGGAGAAATACCAGATAGAGGTGAAGAAGAGGAAGGCAGCAAATCACACTGCCATGTGTGCACCTATGCAACTATCTTGCATGTTTTTCACATGTACCCCAAAACATAAAATGCAATTAAAAAATAAAGAAACACAAACAATCATCACTCTTTGAACAACATATTTGTCTAAGTTTTTTGATAACCATGATTTCTTCTTGTCGCTCTGAATTGTTTCTAGAAAATAAGGTGTCTTGACATCCAACTACCTTTTTCTACTCTCTTAATGCACTTTTAAATCACCAGAATCTCACCTTCATTTTTAAGATTAGCCTTATGATATTCGTTCTTCAAGGTCCAGTGCTCTTTGGTGTAACACAGGCAATGTCTACAGGATGAACAGTTCTGCTCTTGTTTTTGTTTCTTCCACAGTTCCAGCCGCTTCTTGAAAACCTGACTGATTTATTCGGAGTTGGTTTTCTTCACTAGTTGTTCTTAATACCTACATCTTTTAGAAAACTATTCATATCATTTGATATTATTTCAAAAGCAGATGCTTTCAATTAGATACTTAATAATTTTCATGATTGTTAACCAATGCTTGGGTCCTACCTGAACATTTATCATTTGAAAGTTAAGATTCAAACAAAGTTCAAGAAGCAAGTTTACATACATGAAACAAGTTTATCTCCAAAAGTCCTTTACTAAGTTAATTCTTAAAGTAGATGAACATCACCCAGGCCTGCGTTTCACACCTATCAATGCACCCTCCACTGGACTGCTCAGGCCTGGGTTCTGTGCCCACTGTTGAGAAGAGAGTGGGTGAGAACTAACTCCCAAATGATAGAGTCCTGTTACCAGAAGAATGGAGTATGGATGCTGGGCAGGCAAAGCCAATAAAAAAAAATATATATATATATATATATATATATATATATATATATATACTTGAGCAGGGGCAAGAGATCATGACTGTAATACCAGCACTTTGGGAGGCTGAGGTGGGCAGATCACAAGGTCTGGAGATCGAGACCGTCCTGGCTAATATGGTAAAACCCTGTCTCTGCCAAGAATACCAAAAATTAGGTGAGCTTGGTGGTAGGTGCCTATAATCCCAGATACTCGGAAGCTGAGGCAAAAGAATCGCTTGAACTTAGGGGGTGGAGATTGCAGTGAGCCGATATCATGCCACTGCAGTCCAGCCTGAGCGACAGAGCAAGATTCCATCTAAAAAAAAAAAATGATATACATATTTCTCTTCTCTTCTCCCTTGCTCTTGCTTTGCTTTTTTCATAGAATATCAGAGTAGGCCCTAGATATAAAATCATAAGTTTACCATCACAATCAATTGAAGAAAAAAGTGCTAACATTTCAGAATTAAACATAATTATAACGTCACAATGCTATGTTAAATAGATGTTAAATTAAATCAGAAGATAGAAATATATAATTGGCTAGTGCAAAAAAATATTTCTCATGTAGATGTTTCCTGTAATTAAAAAATGTCAGCTAGAATACTTCAAAAGTTCTTCAAATTTATCAGACTTGAATACAGGTCTTGAAAAAAGTAATTTTTGTCAACTTTAAAAAATTTAAAAACAAGCCATTCTTATGAGAAAATAAAATAAATCTTTATCTATTAAAGAGTCTAATTAAAAGATAAAAATTCAAAGCTTTTTATACATGTATCCCACAGATATCTATAAATTAAGCCTTAAACTGTCATATTATAATGCTGCTTCAGTGTCTAAATAAAAATCTAGGTTTCTAATTTTCAACTGCATGAAACTTCTGGATTTTCAACAAAACCGTATCATTAATAACCATGTGAATGTAAGAACTCTCTTGAAATTGCATAATTTATTTTCAGTGGTTTTAATTATATTTTTCCTCCCACAAAATGGGAGCCTCATGATGTAGTCATCAATATACCTCATCCTTTTGGAAGCAGCATTTCTGAAGAGACAAAATATATATACTTAATATTAATGAAGCTCCACAACAGAAAAGTATCATGTTGATATGTATATATTTTTCTGTATGTGGAAAACATATTATTTATTTTATTAGGTGAAAATAACATTTTTTACAAAATAGTTTCTGATATTTAAATATTTTATATTTAGAAAGTACAAAGTAAAGCAAAGCATCAAATGATTGTGAAATTTGTACCCTTCTTTATGTGACTCATTTTATTTTAAATACAGTTTCATAGTGTACAGTTTCAACAAACAGTACAGTCTTCAAATTTTTCTCTCAGCCATTAAATACTAATTTCTAATGACGAAAATACAGAACTAAAGGTAAAATTGCACCCTCTACTATCCAAATGTTCTACTCCATATGGAGCACCTTGCTGTGTGTGTGTGTTAAACACATTCATTATATAAGTCACAGGTAAATAACTGCTTTCCTTTTGATATTAATCAGTGAATCCTCAAAAAATTAAGTTCTAGTTATAAAATTTCCATTATAATACAAATGGAAGTTTGCCACTTCTATAGATACTTGTGCTAACCTAATTTAGAAAACAATTCTTAGTAAGGTACAGGCATGCATCATGTAATGACTTTTCTGGCAATGAAAAACTGCATATACAACGGTGATCTTTTAAGACTATAATGAAGCGAAGCTACTATAAATAGTTGTAATTTTTATGTTTCATACCATACTTTTACTGTACCTTTTCCATGTTTAGATATGTTTAAATACACAAATATTTACCATCATATTACAATTGCTTATAGTTTTCAGTACAGTCACATGTGGTACAAGTTTGTAGCTCAGGAGTAATAGGCTCCGCCACACAGCTTAGGTGTGTGATAGGCTATATACCATCTAGGTTTGTGTAAGTACAGATTTTGGTGTTTGCACAGAATTGCCTAAAGACACGTTTCTTACTATGGATCCCTGTTGTTAAATGATCCAACTGTACTTGAATGAAATATTCATTAACTTACTGATAACAAATGGCAATATAAATAATCTTTTCAACATTACTCATAACAAGAAAAAATATGAAATAATTCAAGCAAACAATTGGTATATTTTTCTTTTTTTCTTGCATTTTAGGTTTTGGGGTATGTGTGCAGAACGTGCAAGATAGTTGCATAGGTACACACATGGCAGTGTGGCTTGCTGCCTTCCTCCCCTTCACCCATATTTGGTATTTCTCCCCAGGCAATCCCTCCCCACCTCACGCCCCCGCTGTCCCTCCCCTATTCCGCCAAATAGACCCCAGTGTGTAGTACTTCCTTCCCCGTGTCCATGTTTCTCATGTTTTTTCACTCGCCTATGAGTGAGAATATGTGATATTTCATTTTCTGTTCATGTGTCAGTTTTCTGAGATTGATGGTCTCCAGATTCATTCATGTCCCTTCAAAGGACATGAACTCATCATTTTTTATTGCTGCATAATATTCCATGCTGTATATGTGCCACATTTTCCCCGTCCAATCTACCATCGATGGGCATTTGGGTTGGTTCCAGGTCTTTGCTATTGTAAACAGTCCTGCATTGAACTTTCATGTGCATGTGTCCTTACAGTAGAATGATTTATAGTCCTTTGGATATTACCCAGTAATGGGATTGCTGGGTCAAATAGAATTTCTATTTCTAAAACCTTGAGG